CCGACACGGTCGCCCTGCTGCTGCACGTGGCGGGGCCCCCCACGGGACTCACCGTGGCGCCCCTCTTCACACTGGCTGCTCTGCTATCCGCGGCCGCCACACAGACCCGGGTGGCAGTGCTGGTTCCGGAGCTGCAGAGGGAACTGCTGGCGGCGGGGTTTCGGGGTGAGGAAGGCGGGTGGGGGGGGCGTGGGCAAGTGGCAGGGGGGTTGGAAGGGGTTGGAAGGGGGTGGGCGGCTGGCTGTGTGCGGAAATATGGATATCAAAACATACATACATACATATACATATACATATACATATACATATACATATACATATACATATACATATACATATACATATGTCTGGTCTGGGTTGACACTACTGCAATTAGCGGTTTAAGGTCCTGGGTTCGATTCCTGGGGAGACCCCCGAATTAGTCGGGAGCGCGAGATTATGGCTAGCTGCTGAGATGTGGAGTTGAGGTCACAGTTGATGGACCAGATTCGCACGCTGGATTGGTGGCGATTGCCGAACCCTCCGTCTCTTCGGGTGTTCGGGTGAATGGATGAGGAGGGGTCCCTGAAGGCTGGATCCGCCGCCTTGGACTTACAGTTCGTATGGCGAAGTACAGTGTGGTAGTGGTGGATGGTGCTATAAGGTGATAAATGATCTAGAACTGACAATGTGATAAAGCGGCCCAGAAGCCTCCCACTCTGTAACATTACATTACATTACATAACATTACATTACATTACATATACATATACATAGATATGCACACAGATGAACCTACGTGTTTTTGATCCGCGCATTTTGTGTTTTCCATTTCCCTCCCACCGTTCACCTCCGTGGCCTCCCGATACACTTCCCGGCACACTTCCCGACACACCTACACACCTACATACACACGAACACAACGACCCGTGCATGCGTTGATTTCCCCTCCTCCTCCTCCTCCTCCTGTAGCTGCTGCTGCTACTACTACTACTGCTACTGATTGGTGTTGTCGGGTCGGGTCGTGTTTTATCATGTCGGCTTACGGTGTATTTCCTCTCGCATCCCGCATCCAGGTGTGCCCCCCCTGGCCTACCTAATCTACGTGTACCCAACTTCCCTGGCGTGTGGCTGGCTGCTGGTGCACCAATGCCATGTCACCGCGCTGGCAACTGGCCTGGTGACGAGCTCGCATCAGGTGCAGGAACAGGAGAGGGGGAGAGGAAAAAGGAGAACCGGGGCTCGATGATTTATTTATAAACGTTGTTTTTTGTGTTTTTTTTTTGCGTCATCCACATGCCTTGCTGGCCTGTCATGTTTCGCAGTTTCTGCAGTTCATGTCTCCGCTCTCCTTTGCTTCATTAATCCAAATCCTTGAATTCTTTTTTTTCTGTGACCCATTTGATTGAATATTCGCTCAAGCAGTCTGGGCATTTCCATTTGCCGTCACGTGCCAGTTTCGACACTTCCGCCGTCACGATTTGTTTACTTGGTTAGCTGCGCCGTTCCCAGCTAGGCCCCCCCCTCGCCCTTCCCTTCCTCCCCCACAACCCCTCTGTCCACCTAAACCCCAATACCAGTCACAGTCCAGGCACCGGCCGTCCCCCAACCCCGGTCCTACTCTTGGTACACTCTTGCCCTGGCAGCAGCTTCACTCGTTCGTGGTTCGTCTTCCCCCCAACCCCGGTCCTACGTCTGGTACACTCTTGCCCTGGCAGCAGCTTCACTCGTTCGTGGTTCGTCTTTCCCCAACCCCGGTCGTCTGCCACAACCATTTCTGTGGTTCTTCACAACTTCTTCACAACTCTCTGTTGCTCCGCCTCTTCTTTGCCTCCCCCCCCCCGGGGAACAGAACATGAACCCAAAAATCATCACCTCACCGCGGCCGGGCCGCCGCCCTCCTTCCTCTCTATTTGCTGGTATCTGCTTCACTTTCTGTTCGTCTTGCCCCTTTTCCCTCTCCCATCTCCCCTCTTCCCGGGGGCGGTTCAGGCGGCGCTCAACGTTGGTTGTGTGACGTTGGTGCTGGCGACTGCATTGGCGCTCCTGCTGCTGGTTCGCCTCCGCGACGTGGTGTTTGGACTTGCCTTTACCTGGGGCTGCGTGGCGGTGTGGGTGGCTGGGTTCACCACCCAGGAGGATTACCGCCCGGACCAGCTGGTGGCCTTCTTCTGCGGCCTGGTCATGGGAATGTTGACGTACTGCGTAGCGGCAGGGCCGCAGGTCAGGATGGCGTGGGGGGGATGGACGGCGGCGGTGACGGCGCCGGCAGCGGCTCTGCCGCCGCCACCGCCGCCGCCGGCACCGGCAGCGGCTCCGCCGTCGCCTTTGGCTGCTACTGGTGCGGCTATCGGCCCCGGCGGCGGTTTGGGAATCGGGTTGGGAATGGGAATGGGAATGGGAATGGGAGGAGCTCCTGGTCGTTCTTTATGACGTGGCCGTCATATATATGGAGATGATGATGATGGTGAGGAGGAGGAGGAGGTACTTACTGATGGTGGTCATGGTGGTGGTACTGAGTGGCCGTATTGGCAATGTTGGTCGAGTTGGGGCGGGGGGTGGCGAGGGAAGTGTCTCAAGAGGGAGGGCGGGAGGGAGGGAGGGAGAGGTGATGTTTCCGAGGTTTTCTCTCTCCCGCACCTCCGCGCTCCCAAGGGGTGGGGTGGGAGAGGGAGAGGGAGAGGGTTTCGCGCAGGTGAAACGGGGCACGTCGTGTGTATCGATTGTGTCGTGTGTGGTAGAATGTGTATGCGGACATGTGTGCGTGGGCAGTGATGAGTGTACGAGTTTTGAATAATAGTGTGAGTGTGATGAACTGAGTCGCCCTCGTGAGGTGCAGGAGTGGTATGGTCCCGCACGTTCAGGTGGTATGACATCCGGAGCAATACCAGCAACGAACAACTAACAACGATATAACCAATTCCCTGTCGTTGTTGGAAAAAAGAAAATGCCAAGTTAGGAACAAGCAATAGCGACATAACGGTCAACTTTTGAACCTATGGAATGTGAAACCCCCCCAGCATGTATGTATGTATGTATCTGCATGTATGTCGGAAGCATCTTGGTAGGCAATGGCAAAAAGAAATTTATTAAAGTTAGGAAGTGGAGTGGAGTATTGTTCGGCCGATGTCGATGACCTGCTGGAAATGGCCATGGATGGTGGGTGGTGGATGGTGGGTGGGTAGGTTGGGGGGAAGGCAGGCCCGTGTGTGCGGGTCCCTTTCCCTTAGTGCTAACTCTAGGTTCTAACTCTTTAACTTAAAAATATTACGAAATTTGTACGTGCCGTACACGGCAGCTGGACTACGTCTTAAAGGTAGTGGGGCGGTCCTTTCAGCGGTGTTGGGCTCAGGCGGTGCTGGGCCAACACACGTCCATGTGCGCGTACTTGTGTTTTTCGGGTGTGGCGATATCCGTATCTGTATCCATTTGTACCGTATCCGTGTCCGTGTCCGTATGTTACAAGTTACAAGTTCCGCACACAAGTGCGGGTGTGTCCGGAAAAGCCGGGGGGGCCATGGACGTATGTTAGCATCCGTCGAAACTCCCCGCCGCTCTGCGTGTAGTGGAGTAGTGGAGCGGAGTTGTTTGTGGGTTTTATGTGTTTTAAAACTGTGTGGCGTCGTTTTGTCCATGGCGCACGCGGCAGCAGGCACCCGTGCCGCCGCCGCACGGGCTCTCTTCTGGGCGATATGTGTGGGGTCCCTAGGGGCGAGAGAAGAAGAGGGAGGGTTACCTGGGGGTTCGCCTGCCCCGGGTTCGGCGTGTAGGGGCCTGGCGTTCGTGTTGTTGGAGGGAGAGCGCGCTCTGGTGCCCCTCCCCTTCCCACCCTGGAGCCCGTCGGGGGGTGAGTTCTCGCTTTGGTACGGAGCTGCAACAGCGCGCACCCCCCGACGGGCTCCAGGGTGGGAGGGAGGATGCACTCTTCCCCCTCCAACACGAACGCCATGCTTCTGCTTGATGGCGGTACGAAAATGCTGGTGGAGCCAGAAAAACCTATACTTAGATTGCGTATATGAGTATCAGCGTCTTGCATCAGGTAAAACCTGATTGTAAAGAGGAGATGCTGCTTAGTCGAGTGGTTTATGGCAGTGGTGGTATTTAGGTATTTAGGTATGGCTGCGGTAAGGAATTTAGGACGCTCCTACTCAAACAATAATCGCTTTGCTTACTTTGCTTACGATTGAAAAAGTTAAAGTATGGCATGTTCGACTCCAGACTGCAGGGAATTCGCGACGCTTTCCCAGACCCATACGCGGAAGCCGCCCCTTGATGCATCATTACGGCCATCCAATGCAAAGCCCAAATCCTTTTCAGCATCGTCGAGACCATTTTACCGGCCTCTGCACGCATACCATGCATATATGATGGACAGCGCAAACAAAATTGGCGTCATAAGCCGGCGTCATAACTGCGCGCCAGGCTACGCCCTACATGGCGCGCATCTTTTGGCTGGAAATAAGCTGGAATCAAAAACCACCTCGCATTTCAGCGCCAAAATGAGACGTTTCAACCGTTTTCAACCCGATGACGGCTGTCCTGCCGTCTATCAATAATATGCTAATCAGTCATGGATGAGGCCTGTCGCCCGTCACCTCACAACCCCCAGATGATGCCAGTCTCATCCCTCACGCGCACACCATCATGTTTGACAACCGTACAAACCCATCAACCTGTCACCGCCCTCCCACGTCCCCTCCCCCGCTCTCACCCACCTCCGCCTCTACCATGTACCTATAAAAGCCCGGCGGCTCTCTTTAATCAACACCACAACACACCACAACACATCTATTCATTCCTCGTATTGCATTCTCATCTCATAATACCTCTCCTCCAATTGTAATTTCGCTCTCTGAGCTGCTTAGCTGCGGTAGGCGTGTGAACCTACCTGCGTCTCTTCATCGCAGCCACACATTGGCGCGCGGATTCCAGATTTCCGCGGCGTACGGCATTTGTTCGTTACAGAATCCAGATCTGTACAGCTAATTGATACACAGAAAACGTAGGGACCTGATATGGGTCACGAGATCAGTTACCGCATCGCTGCCACCGCCGCCCTTGTGGCAGGTGGGTTGTTCATTTCCCCCCCGTCTGGCTGACGGCTAGCACCGCATTCGCGTGTGGCCTTGAATTTAAATCTCTTTTTGAATTTTTGGGGGGAGAGGAAAAGGGTTTTCGCACGGCACGGCACGGCACGCAAAGCCTTGAAAGCAATCCGGTGACTTTGGCGGATGAAAATGGCGCTACTTGCACCACGGAATTCGTACAGATACATATATCGTAATACTTCTGTCCTTCTGTCCTTCTGTCCCAGGTCCAAAAGATGCTTCTTCTTCTCCTGTCTGCCTCACCCCGCCCGTGTTTCCGCTCCTTTGGACTTTGAGGCCTTATGTGAATATGATATTTGAGACCTTTTGTGAAAGAGGTTGGGGTTGGCTGGGGGCCCCGGGGCGCGGTGTGCTATTTCTTGCTTCACCCTGCGTGATGTGCGCACGCAGATGAAGGAATATGAGTTCGTTTCCTTTCTCGGTCGGATCGCCGCCTCGGTCCCCTGGCCCTGTCTGCGTTTCCTGGCACTGCGCGTGCAGGTATGGTTATGCTGGTTTGGAGTCAACCGATCGTGCCCACCGTGCCGCTAGCAGCCGCGCCTGCCAAGCCGGCTAACGGCGCCGTGGTTCCGACGGCGACGGCGGCGACGGCGGCGACGGCGGTTCCGACGGCGACGGCGGTTCCGACGGCGGCGGCGGTTCCGACGGCGGCGGCGGTTCCGACAGCGGCGGCGGTTCCGACGGCGGCGGCGGTTCCGACGGCGGCGGCGGTTCCGACGGCGGCGGCGGTTCCGACGGCGGCGGTGATGCCTGCCGCCGCGGCCACCGGTCCTACACCTTTGCCAGCTATGCCCGCCAAGCCCGGCGCCGCCGCCGCTACCGTCCCCGTCGCTGCTACTGCTGCTGCGCCTGTTGGAATTCCAACGGCTGCAGCGGTAGCGCTGCCCAAGCCTGGCGCCGGTGCCGCCGGTGCCGTGCCGTCAGCGATCCCGGCAGCCGCCACCGCCGCTGCCATCCCTACTGCTGCAGCTGCCGCGCCCGGTGCGATACGTTCTGCGGGAGTTACCACTCTCGCCGCAACCGGCCCCAGCACCATGCTTGGTGCAACTGCTCCAGGGGCCGTACCTGCCGCCGTACCCGGCGCCTTCCCTGCCGCCGCTGGCCCCGGCGCCGTGCCTGCCGCCGTACCCAGCGCCTTTCCTGCCGCCGCTGGCCCCGGCACCGTGCCTGCCGCCGTACCCGGCGCCCTCCCTGCCCCCGCTGGCCCCGGCGCCGTACCTGGCCTCGTACCCGGCGCCCTCCCTGCCGCCGCTGGCCCATTCGCCGTACCTGGCCTCGTACCCGGCGCCCTCCCTGCTGCCGCTGGCCCATTCGCCGTGCCTGCCGCCGTACCCGCCGCCCTCCCTGCCGCCGTGCCTGCCGCCGTACCCGTGGCCGTGCCTGCCGCCGTACCTAGCGGCGGTGCCGCCGCTATCCCTGCTCGGGTTCCAGCCGCCATGCCCGTCGCCAGTGCACCCGTCGTACCCGCTGGCCCCGTCATGACGGCCCCGGCTCCGCAGCCCTTCACCGCCGCGTCCATAGACAACGACGACTCTACGACGGTACGTCACGCCGTCGCCCGAACAAAGTTAAGTTTGAAAAGACGAGCAAGCCTGAGTAGGCCGAGTAGCAAGTAGGCCGAGCCCCAAGTGCAGCCCCGTCCTAGCAGTCCGCCCTTCATCTGGCGCGCGCGCGCGCGCGCGGAAAGATACACCCTGGATGGGATTGACACGTCAACAAAAGTCCAAGGCTAAGCTGAAATCCCCCGTCAGCCGCTACGCTACGCTGTGTACGTAGCAACCGGCAGCAGTAGCAACACTGGGTGGCAAAACGGTTGAGGTTCGCAGCTGCTCCAAATACATTCTCTTTCGCATACCGTCTGCACGCCTGCACGTCTTCCTTCTGCGCATGCCGTACTTCGCCATACCTTGCCGTACGGTGCCGTACCGCTGCCGTGCAGGTGGCTCCCGACGCTCCTTCCCTGGATGTTCGTCTGGCCACCTGCACCGACGTGTCCCCGGGCACCCGCCACACGTGCGAGCAGCAGGTGGCTGTCGGTTGGGTGTCGGTTGGGTGTCGGTTGGGTGTCGGTTGGGTGTCGGTTGGGTGGGTGATAGCTGTGTGTTAAAGAGGGCGGGGTGACGGAAGCAAAGAGCAATGCGACACGACGTTAATTTGTTTTAGATTCTCAGATTCTCAAGGGTTTTTTGATTCAAATTGACCGCTGTGAAGTAGGTCACGCAGCTCGCCCCTCAAATCTTCCAACGACCCCAGCCTCTCGACTCTCCTTCCAACCACCAACCGTAACCAACCTAAAACCCTAACTGCTATCATGATTATGCTTGCGCAGCGCCTGTTCGACAAGTGCGATTCCGACTACATGGTCCGGTGAGTGGTAGTCTGCGGAGCCGCGAGCTAACCGCCTCTGTGTATAGAACGATAGCAGGATGCCTTGCCGCCCTCTACAAAGCAAGTAGGAGTTAGCAGCATGAGGGTCATGAGGCCACGCAGGGGGCTACCTGGTTGCGTTGCGTCGCGTTGCGTGTGTACCTTACACCCCCCTCCCTCTTCCCCCCTCTCCCCCCCCGATCTTTCCCCCGCCCTGCAGCTACGCCTACTGCTCTAGGACCTGCGGCCGCCAGCCTTGCAAGACGTGTGATGACGTGGCGCCCACCGCGGAGTACAACTGCACTCAGCAGGTCGGTGGTGAGGCGCGCTCTATAGCGCACTGCAGCAGCAGCAGCAGCAGCAGCAGCTGATGATGATGATGATGATGATGATGATGTGCTGATGCTGTTGCACACACTCATGCACGCGTACATGCATGCATGCATGCATGAGTGTAGGCGTGGGTGTGCGTGTTAAGTGTCTCTGTGGGGGGGGACAGATGGCAACGTGGCCAAAAAAACACAGGGGCAGTGAAAACTACACGACGGCAGTTTCCCTCGGGTTCCAGCGCTGTCTGTTGCCTTTTCAATTGTCGTACTGGCATTAACCCACAGGTTTACTCCACTCAGCTCAGCACCGTGAACCCCCATGCTGCATCCTTCCGCTTCCCCTTCCCCGTCCTCCTCCCCGTCCTCCCCCTCCTCCTCCTCCTCCGTTGACAGGCTGCCTTCGGCAAGTGCAACGAGCAATGGATGGTTACGGTGCGTTAGCGGGGTTAAAAGAATTGGGGTGCGGATTTATCGGGGTGTACTCGGAACCTCCCCCTCCTTCTCCTCGGGTTGGGCTTGCGAGGTCCCCCGGGTTTTAGAAGTGCCGTACTAGCACAGGGTGGATTGGGGTGTTACACAATTTACACGCAGCGCTTTTTATAAATTATGATTTTAGCTGGGCATGCACGTCCATTCATCCATCCATCCATATCCTCATATACATACATACAAACACGCATCCGCGGACTGCAACTGCAGGGCAGCTTCTGCGCACGCAGCTGTGGCCGGACTCCCTGCCCCCCGACTGAGGAGGCGAAGCGGAACTTCGCCAATGAGTACGCCAAATCGGGTGGCAAGGCCGCGGCAGACGGCCCGAGTCCCCCCGTCGGGAATGCATGGTCCCCACCCCGTGGTCCATCTTCGCCGCCACCGTCCTCTTCCTCCTCCTCCTCCTCGTCCTCTTCTAACAAGGCACAGCAGGAGGTCAAGCAGGGCCAGGACTTCATCTCCATGCCCTCGCAAAAGAAGTAAAAAACATCTCTACTGATCTCTCAAACTGATTATGAGGGAGCTGATTATGAGGGAGCTGATTATAAGGGGAGAGAGGGGAATTGGGTGTTATGGGGATGTGGTTGGGAGCCCTGTGCGTGTGCGACTGACTCTGTGCGTGTGACGACTGAGGTAGGTGACGTCATGATTGACTGTGAGACCGTCATGACATAACATGACCTGGCTGGCAGCAACAGCAACAGCAGCCGCGGCGGCAGGCGGCAGGCGGCGGCGGCGGGGAGGGAGCTGGGCGCGAGTCTGGCTCGTGTGAAGTGAAATGGCGTGGCTGCTTAGTCAGGGGCCACACAGCTGATTCGGGTGGTGGTGTTGGTGGTGGTGGAATGTAAATTCAAAAATCTGAAGGGTTTGATTTTAACCCAAAACCCGAAGTGCTGAATATGACGGTTGGTTGGTTGGTTGGTGGTAGCGCTGTATGTATGTAACGACAAGGAGGAGCAGAGCTGGCTGGCCGAGCCTATACATTGCAATATAAAATTCAAAACGTTTTCAGGAGATGGGGGAGGGGTACCTTGAGGGATCTGGTGTCCGCTGACTACCTTGCGCTCTGTAATGGGACCCGGGCCTACCTGCCCTTTTTATCGCCTGGCTCACCTGGCTCACCTCCCACCCCCCTCAACCTGGCTCACCGGGCTGACTCGTGAGTCAGAAGAGGGGACTCGACATATGACGTACGACATCACGAACAGTTTGCGAAGTCACGATAGGGCAAAAAACCTTGCACACATACTAATACACATACATACATACATACATGCATACATGTGTTCATAACAAGCATATCTATCCCCGTTTGCAACGCTCGCTGTCTTATGGATTCAAATTTGCCTGATACTCCCTTCACGGGAGATGTCTGTTATTCCCTTCACGCCAAATTAACTCCTCCCGGAGGCGTGTTTCTCTCCCCACCCTTCCCCCCTCCCGGGGAGCTGCTCCCGTCCCCCCTTCCACATCTGGCACTATAGCAAACGCAGTTTGGATCTGTTTGCCATATGCTGCTGCTGCTGCTGCTGCTGCTGCATATCAACAGCATAATATTGTTGCAATGGAAAATAATGACGCTTACTTGCTGGGCAGCGCCTGTTTGCTTGCCCACGCGCTAGACTGTCCGCCATTTGCCCGGCTCCAACAGCCGACTTGAATATTTCTCGAGTTACTTACAAACGGATACACATTACTAACATCCCTCTCGGCGCGTGCACATGCACATATACATGTATGTACGTTTGAATGTATGTATGTATGTGAGTCTCTCCGCGAGGCGGGTATTGAGGCAGGGAATACGGCACCGGGAGGGAACACGGCCAACAGCGGCCACACACCCGGGGTCGGGGAAGGACCGAGCGGATGCTGACCCACGGGTCACACATACATATGCCCCAACCATCATCTCACTCAATTACTTCTTCAGTGTAACACTGCCACCAACTGCCGGACATCTTAACTCCCCTCGTGGCTCAGTGGCTCGTGTGTACGGTGGTAGCATCCAGGATGGTGAGCATGCATCACCGCATCACCCAATATTTACCGTAAACGATGGTGTGATGATACCCCGGGGCCCCCACCGGCCCCCCAGCGCAAGGAGCCGTCCACCTCCTCGTCCTCCTGGAGGACCTCTCACACTAACCCACTGGGCCGCGTGTTGCCGGGTAACCGGATTCCAACCCCCAAACCCCCTTCCCCCGCCCCAATACACCCCCCACCCAGTCCGACCGCACCCCCTACATCCCACCCGGCAGATGACCCCAACCAATCATATCCCACCCCAACCGCAACCGCAACCCCGTAGTCGTGGTCGTAGTCGTGGTCATCCCGCAGTGGTGAGGTGAGTGGGTTGGGGCCGGCGCTATGGCAACTTGGTCGCAGACTTGGCCCCTGGGGGGTATCCGGACTGCAGCGGTAGTGGCGGTGGCGGTGGCGGTGCGTCAGGAAGGGCAACAGGGCAACAGGGCGCGGCATGTCATAAAAATGATATGACCATCGCCATCACCATCGCCATCACCACATCTCGGTACAACAACACAACTGACTATACCGGCAGCACAGCACAGTTGGGTAGGGAGGTTGGGAGGACAAAGGAACTTCAGGCAAAAGGATAGCTTGACGTTATTTACAGTTTCGTGATAAAACAAATGCGCGCACACAACCACCACAACCACCAACACCACAACCGCCATCCGAGCTGTCCGCTACAACTGTCCGCTGTGTCGTGTTGCGCTGCCCTCTAGAACCCCGGGCGGGCGGGGGGGGGGGCTGCACGTCATGCCGGGCTCCGTACTCCTTGGTTTCCTTTCCCTCCCTCCCACCCTCCCCCGGGTAGCCCTCCTCCTCCCTCCTCCTCCCCCTCCCGCGGCCCACCTGGGTCAGCTTCTTGGATCTGGATCTCAGGAGGGCCGAATACAGCTGCCACCAGAGGAAGGGGTAAAGAGCCAAAACAATCTAGGGAGGGGACGGGAGGGGGAGGAGGGAGGGGAGGAGGGAGGGGGAGGGGAGGGGGAGGGGAGGGGGAGGAGGGAGGGGGAAGGGGGGAGGGAGGGCAAGAGCCATAGGCAGGGGGCAGGGCAGCAAGGGTGGTAACAGCGGCGGCAGGAAAACGGAATATGTATGTATGATGTGTGGTACAGGGGGTTCATATCCTCACCCGTGGCCGCTACCCTTCGAAACCCTGCCTTCCCCGGTATTTCGGGGCACCCTCATCCAGCCACCCTAGCCGACTTCTCAGTGGATCGCTCAGGTTCCGCACCCACCACCGGCATCCAACGGAATCTGCCGGATCGACGGCGGCTCAACTCCATTCCTGGTCAGCTCGCAGGTCAACTTTATCCCAGGTCACCGCCGTCCATCGAATAGATTTTTCACCATCAGAAGGATTTTTGGCCCTGACAAGTCTCGATCCCGGAACCTCCGGGGACATAAGTACGTGCCTTACCAGTAATGCCTGACCTCTGTCTGTCTGTCTGTCTGTCTGTCTGTCTGTGGGTACATTGCGCACCTGGATGAAACGATGGTAGCTGAATGCCCAGTTATAGGCGTTCGGCAGCTCCAGGGAGTATGGCTTCGATGCGGCAAGGTACGGCAGCGCCGCCACCATCAGGCCCATCTCAGCCACAACACCCACAGGGTATAGCGGAATAAACATTGTGTACCTGCCGACAGTCGTGTTAGTGTTAGTGTTAGTGTTGTTGTTGTTGTTGTTGTTGTTGTTGGTCGTGACGACGGTGGTGGTAATAGTCGCGCGGCGCGGGGCGAGTGGCCGTGGTGGGGCCGTGGGTGGCGGCGAAGAGTGTCGGGAGGGCTGCATGGTGAGCCCCACGGCGATACACAGGGGCGGGAAAAAAAGGAGACAGCCGCAGTGTGTTATTGCCCCTTTCCCCCCCATCCTTTTTCTCTTCTCCCCCCCCCCCCATACACACCCACCTCAGCCAGGTCAGCCAGTGGGGGCATCTCTCCCCCAATGCCGTACTCAGCATGTACTGCGGGTAGCGGATCACCTCAGCAGCCGCCCAGGTGCCCATCATCAACACGGACCACCAACTGACATGGAGCTAGGGCAACCGTTTCGGTTGAGTTGGTTGTCGGTTGGGTTGGGGTTGAGTGGGGATCACGGGAAGGGGGAAGGAAGGGGGTAGAAGAATGAGGGGTTTGGAAAGGAGGGGTAAGGAAGGGGGCAAGGAGGAAGGAGGGCACATAAGGAGGGCGCCATGCTTCTCGCGAGGCGGCTAGGGAGGAGACGCGGCGAGTGGGAAAAGGGGAGGGGGAAGGACGAACCACGAACGAGTGAAGGGGAGGGGGAGCGGCGGCGAATAATGTGGTGGATATGCGCTCCGCGGCCCCAGGGGGCCGGCTGACTAATTTGCTGCTTGCATAAGGTTTTTTCCTCCTCCTTTTCCCTCCTCCTCCGCCGCCTCCTCCTCCGTCCCCCTCCGGGGACCTCATCCTTACTTGGGGGTTGGGTTCCAGTATGAGGAAGAAGACGTTGCTGCGGCCCATCCACTGCATCAGCGACATAAGGGGGCTGGAGGGCACCAAGCCCACCGCGGCGTGGAGGGTTTCGAGCAGGGAGGCGCCCTGGACCAGCTCTGGGGGGCAGGCCCGGGGGATGGGGGCGGGAGGAGTTGGAAAGAGAGGATAACTGATGCAGTTATGTAAAAGGGGAGGAGAGGCGCGGCGTGGTTGGTTATGGCTGTAGGTGCACCAGGCCATTACTTGGGTTTGGATAGTTGCATCAGGTGGAACGGCGAGTCAGCATAGGCAGAGATCGAGAAGGTGCGTATGGACTCATTGCGGAGCCGCCATGGTAGCGTTGCATCCGATGCTCGTTGGCCCACGTTAACGTTAACCGCGGTGCTGCCAGTGCTTCCCGTGCCCCATCCTGCCCCATCCTGTAATCTGCAACAGACTTAACTTGTCAGAAAGCCTGCTGAATTGTAAAGCTGTTCCGGCCGGCCCTTCTGCAAGACGCCGTACAATATCGCGCCCAGTACCGCTGCCCAGCCGCATGCCTGCAGCGCGTTATATAAGACTAGATATATTTGTGAGATACGCATGCTTCAAACTAAAGGGTGCGGCTTGGGGGTAGGTGGTGTGGCTATGCGAAGATTGAGAACAACTGCCAGAGGTGCTGACTCGTCCGAAATTAGCCACGCAAGGACAATCCCGCAACAGGGTGAGATGATCAAAATGGCAAACGCGCAGTTAAGGGGGGAAATGAAGAGTAAGAGTTAAGGAGCGGTTGCAGTACGGGAGGCTTGCAGGTGATGGAAAGGCAGCTTTGCCTGTTCACATGTCATCGCGTGTACTATGATAACACAGCACAACATCCTCCTTTGACTTACTACATTGGAATGCGTATTCAGGGCATCTTGGACTCTCCTCCCTCAACACATTACGCATAATCCAGCCGTTTGCCCGCATCGGGAGCTCCGAGAGTGAATCATAAGCTCTGTGACTGCCACCATTAGCGTTTTAATTGACGCCCTTGTGCACAAGAAGATTTCGTAAGCATAGCTTCGCGCTCGTATGGCGCTGTGGCGCGGTCGGATTGTAGATATTGAAAGTACTCATCCACAAGCAATCCAATAAGCATCATTTCGAGGCGACGCCGAACTCTTGGTGGCCTTCATATAGCGCGCTTCTCTCGACGCGGGGCGTACGTCTTAACTAAAGGTACGGGCCGAAGCGCGAATTTGCCACAACGCTACTCCAAGCAACGCCCATGCTAATCTGATTCTCCTTGCATGCCAATCCTGCCAATTCTGGTCCTCGCCTATTCCTCAAGCGCCGGCAGCGTTAACCAGTATGTCTCTCCTCTCTTGACCATTGTCAACAGCCGCAGGCCCTCGTTTACCCCAGGGCAGCAGCAGCAGCAGCAGCCCAAGCGCTAGCAGCAGAAGAAGCACTAGCAGCGCCTGCAGCCACAGCCCCTGTGTCCGGGTTCGCGAATTCAGAGGGAGGGAAGCAGCAGGGGGTAGACGGCAAACCGGAAAGGCAAGCGAGGAGCAGTAGAGCGAGCGAGCTTGCGAGAAAGGAAGGAGCGAAGGAAAGGAATGGAATACTGCCGTGTATAAACACACGCATAGAGAAACACACACACACGCACATACATACATACATACCCGCACACGAGTTCGTGTGTGTCTTTCTAAGGACTGAACCCGCGAGTGCGAGTGAGTGTTCGGTTGGAGCCCCGGAGCTTGGACGCCTTTAGAGGAGAGGAGCGGAATACACGGCAGTATATTAGTGTAAAGAGGAGAGAAGCGGAGGAGGGAACGTTGGGGGCCGCGGCGTTAGGGGCCACATCAGATTCCAGGTGTCGGTGTAGGTGACTGATTTTGTGGAGGGTAGGGAGGGCCCCCCAAGGGAACTTACTGGTTGGCTGTGTGTTTTCCTCTCCCCTCTCCCTTACGTAGTGTGTGTTGGTGTGTGTTAGTGTGTGTTGGTGTGTGTTAGTGTGTGTTGGTGTGTGTTGTTGGTGGGTTAAGCGACACTGCGGCTGAGACTGAGAGACAACACTAGACTTGTGTGCACGGCCGCCGCTTCGTTGCTACAGCCTCGCAGCAGCAGTAGCAGTATCTCCCTCCACACGGCGGCCTCTCCGCAGTAGCAGGAGGAGCATATACATTCATACATACATACATACATACATACATACACACATCCAGTGCGGTAGGGAAAAGGCAGTGGCGGCGGCTGCTCAGCCACCAGTAGTACTACTATGGCACAACGCAAACATCTCCAAAACCAGCAGCAAATAGGATCACAACTGCAACAACGCCATCAACAACAGCAGCAGCATGAGGAGGTGGAGGAGGTCTATCCCCCTCCTCCACCTCCTCATGCTGCTGCTGTTGTTGATGGCGTTGTTGCAGTTGTGATCCTATTTGCTGCTGGTTTTGGAGATGTTC